GGCCGCAATATAGCCCGGCCATAAGTATGGTCTAATGGCTAAATGTGGTTTCTGGGACCTCTCCACGGGTGATTCTCATCCACTTGGTGGCACTTTGTGTCATTGGGTGTTTATCGCTTGTGTGATGTCCTGGTGGGGTAAAAGAAGAAAGATAGAGATAGGCTAGTGAATCTTTTGTGGCATTTACTCACAAGACAGAAACATTTTATTAGCTCTTGTCAGTGTGTGTGTATATATATATATATGGAGGACACCACAAGGCTAGCAAAATCATAAGATTCCTGTCTTTTTCCTATTCCTCTTCTGTGTCTTCTTCCTATTCCTCTTCTTTTTCCTCTCCCTTCTTCACCCCCTCTTATTTTTTCAACCTCTCCTTCCTCTTCTTTTTTCTGCTTTCAAAAGAGTTATTGGCATGTTATGGTTTACAACAAGGCTATGATATCTGCACTTTTCTCCCTAACAGGGTTTTAGTAAACCCCTATTTAGTTGACATGTACGACATGCTTGTTAGGGGTCAGTAGGTCTCTTCTGTTTTTCCCCCGCCAAAATTGTGGCTCAAGAACCCACAGGGGGAGATAATCTGATCTGCTTACCTGGTTCGTCTGTGCCTCTGCACTGTGTACTAAACACATTCATCACTGCCTGGTCTTGACTTTAGGTTACTATGTAATTTTTTGGATCCTCCACTGTAAGTGTTATGGGGTTGAACGAGACTCCTGGGATTTGTACTTGTGTGATTCTCATCCTTGAGATGTTATTCCTGCAGACTGTAATCAGTAGGGTACAGACTGCCTACCCATACTAGACACAGTGTGTATTTCATAATTGTAATAATTTCTAAGACATATAAAACATGTATCTGTTTGTTAAATACTTCACACTTTGTGGCGCAAACCTTTGGCAATTCCACTTGTGTGCTTGATTTCTGTTTCATCTTCTACATTTAGTATTTAACATGTTTACTTCTTAACTGGAATGATTTAATAATATCTTCAGCTCTGAATTGTGTGAAGTGAGAAGTAAAGTAACAGTATAGTAAAAGTAAAGTGAAGGTAATGTAAAAGTAAAGTTAAATAATTAATGTGAAAGTAATGTAAAAAAGTAAAAGTAAATTTAAACAAGTAAAGTGAAAGTAATGTAAAAGTAAAAAGTAAAGTAGAAAATAATAATGTAAAGTGAAGTAAAAAGGGATGTAAAATTAAAGTAAAAAACAAAACAATGTGAAGTAAAGAGAAAGTAATGTAAAAGTAGAGTAAAAAAGTAAAGTAAAAGTGAAGCAAAAGTTATGTAAAAGTAAAGTAAAAAAGTAATGTAAAAGTAAACTAAAAATTAATGTACAAATAAAGTAAAAAAAAGTAATGTAAAAGCAAAGGAGCTTTTTTAGGCTAAATGCTTACTTGGTATATGATACTAGACTTCATCGACCAGTTGAAACACCAGGGGTGATACGGTCGGCATCCTTCCGTCCACCGTTATTTTTAGGAGTTTTCCTGATATCCATTTTCGGCTGAGTCAGCCTCTGAGCCAAGGTCATAAAAGTAATATACGGCTCGATGAGGACTGAACCCAAGACCTTGGTGCTGAGCGATCAGCCACTACACAACTGATGCTTGCTTTGTATAAAGGCTACAGGGTTCATAACTTATTCTGTTTCAGACCAGTACATTCGAATATATAACACACGTGATGATGATAACATCAAGCTGACAAAGTGGGTCAAGGCCCAGGATGTCGGCTGGAGTGTTCTAGATACAGCTTTCAGGTTTGTGCGCTTGAGTGATGGAGATTTTCTGTTGTACACAGCCTATGTTAGTTAATTAGTCAACAGATTATCCTCATTGCACATCGAACCACTCAGTCCATAAGTGCTCGGATCCCCTCCTCAGTAAATCCCGCAGCATGTAGTGGCTAACAACAACAGATCTGTGTTGATTTATTATTCGCTATAATTTGTTTATTGTATACAGCCTGTATGAGAATCTACATATCATGATCTTTGCCTTAGTTATTTTAGTCCCTGTAGTCCCTGTAAGGTTTCTGATGTGGGAAGGAAGAGGGGGATAATAGATTCACTGCCTCCCTTCCCTTCCACACCCCTTCCCTCCTCTAAACCCCTTCCCTCCTCCAAACCCCTTCCCTCCTCCAAACCCCTTCCCTCCTCCAAACCCCTTCCCTCCTCCAAACCCCTTCCCTCCTCCAAACCCCTTCCCTCCTCCAAACCCCTTCCCTCCTCCAAACCCCTTCCCTCCTCCAAACCCCTTCCCTCCTCCACACCCCTTCCCTCCTCCAAACCCCTTCCCTCCTCCACACCCCTTCCCTCCTCCAAACCCCTTCCCTCCTCCACACCCCTTCCCTCCTCCGCACCCCTTCCCTTCCGCACCCCTTCCCTCCTCCAAACAAGCAGTTTGTAGAAAGCAACTAATTGTTTAGTTAGTATTTGCTTTGTTCTGCTAAGCATCACTTTTTAACAGATAATTGTTAGCCAAGTCAGAGCAGTCTGGGTAGCATAGTATGCCATGATGTTGTGAAGTCATAGTCATCATTTAATCATTTATTTCGTTTTCTGTTAGGTCTCGCCCTGCTTCTTGGTGTTTCCATTTTCATGTTGTATGCTGTCACTTTTGACATCGTTTGGTTCATTCTTATTAGATGGTCGAACCATTTAAGTCTCTATTTTGCAGTCAACTTAATGATTTGTATTGTTTTAATAATTCTTGTAATCTCTTCATTTCTCACATGATCTCTTGTGGCTTTGATTGCGACCTTTCTCAAACAACTCATTTCACAGGTGGTTAGGGCTGTCCCATGTTCTTTTGTTAATGTCCAAGTTTGGCACTGGTAGCCTAAAGTTGCTAGTTATTTAAAATCCACTCTAATCAAAAGATACAATTACTCAGCTTCCTAAATAGAACAGTCACAAAGAACAAAATGAATGTTGCAGTTAGAAAGTTTTCATCAGCATACAGTACACAACCAACTATGAGCAGTCTTAGATAATTCTAGATGAAAGTGATGATGGTGATGATATGCAGCTTTCTCAGATTGCTTTCTGAGCCCATTACAACCAAGAATGAGTAAAACATTACTGTACCAGTATGATGCTGCTCCAAAATATCCTTGTAACCTATGGGGATTCCTAACTTTTCCAGTCCCAGGCATGTATCACTTGACCTCACTGATTTCTGAGTACTTACTTCCTCATCGTCATCATCATGTTTCCTGCCAGATTACGATCCCTGGTTGCCTGGAACAACTATCTTGATGATATCTTTCCATGCCATCGTTTCAGCCAATCCAGCATCATCTCTCTTGGTCTGCCTCTACCTCTCTACCTTTACTTCCTTCTGTAATGAATTGTAAGCTCCAAGTGGGTTAAAATACAACAGTGTGAGACAACCTGAGTTAAAATAGGAATAAGTTGGCTTGACTGGCCTCACTTACGGGGTGTACAAGGCAGAGGTTTCTCTTGCCTGTGGGGATGAGACAAGTAAAGTGAAAGTTACTGAAAACCTGTACCTGGAAAGAATGTTGCAGCCGGGAGTGTCTGTGGGCTCTAGGTGCTACTCGAAACTGGGATGGGGAGAGGGGAGCCAAGACGAGCAGTTACCCGGATGATTACGGGACTATTGTTATGGAGACTTCTTGCTGGTTTTTGAGCAGGGAGATGAACCTGAAATGAGCTAGACCTGAATGTTGTGATGTTGAATCTTTATACAGGTAAACCCAGATAAAGAAGCAAATGAGTTAGCATTGATTTGGTAAAACAGAACTATTCAACAAAGTTTAATCTGGGCCCAACATTTTGAAAATTGGTCCTGTCACGGGCCAGAAGCCTGAGCTCTGGCATAGAACGATCATTTATTCAAGTGGAGATAATCAGCAGGCCACTTGCTAGACTTTCACTGGTCAGATTTGTCCTGTGGGCTGACATTTGAATAGCCCTGTTATAATAGGTACATGAAGAACATAGTGCTTAGGAAGGCCTGTCAGTGTAAGAAGTAACAAGTAAACGCTTGGTAGTTCAGTAATGCAGAAAGAGTTAAGTATGTAGTGTTTCATATGAAACTTGCTACACTGGTGACCCTCTGGAAATAAATTCCTTCACCTCCCGATTGAACATAAGCCCTCAGTTGACTCGTGACAGCTGTGTAGACTTGATTATGAATGTTTAATTTCTTCATGTGGGTTCCATTTTGGGGAAAAAACAGTGGACTCTCTGTCTCCTAACAAGAACTTTGTAAAAGGTGAACAAATAGGGTTGTGCTGAAATCGGTTGTTTTGGGACAAAAGGTGCAGATGTTACAGCCTAGCTGTAAACTACAATACGTAGAAGAAAATTGTTTGAATATTGCTGCTAGTTTTCTTTCATAGGAGGAAGCTGGTCTCATGCCAGTTCTCTTTAGTCGTCTCTTCTGATATGTTTAGTAGGTCAGTTTTATTATTGTTTTTTTAGCCCTGGCAATACAAAAGGGCTGTCTACTGTTACTGTTTTTCTTTCTTTCTTTCTTTCTTTCTTTCTTTCTTTCTTTCTTTCTTTCTTTCTTTCTTTCTTTCTTTCTTTCTTTCTTTCTTTCTTTCTTTCTTACTTTGTTTCTTACTTTGTTTCTTACTTTATTTCTTTGTTTATTTCATTCTTTCTTTCTTTATTTCTTTGTTTATTTCATTCTTTCTTTCTTTCTTTCTTTCTTTCTTTCTTTCTTTCTTTCTTTCTTTCTTTCTTTCTTTCTTTCTTTCTTTCTTTCTTTCTTTCTTTCTTTTTTTTAAATTCTTTCCCTGATGTCCTTTCCTTCTTTCTAAAAAATATTTCTTTAAAAAAAATCTGAAGTTATTAAACACTTGTAAAATATTAATCATTTATGTGTTTTAAAGATGACTTGCATGTGAAAAATGTCTATATTCATATTATAAAATCATTTGTTTTTTTATCTCTGTTTCTGCAGCCCTGATGGCTGTTTTGTAGCTTACTCCAGTTGGTCTGACAATGGTAAGTGATTATGAAGTTACAGATTATCTGCTCTGTTGTTCAAAGAAACCATGTGATATAAATTTTTTAAACTTTGTTGTGTATCCTTCACAGTATGTTGTGTATCCTTCAAAGTATGTTGTGTATCCTTCACAGTATGTTGTGTATCCTTCACAGTATGTTGTGTATCCTTCACAGTATGTTGTGTATCCTTCAAAGTATGTTGTGTATCCTTCAAAGTATGTTGTGTATCCTTCAAAGTATGTTGTGTATCCTTCAAAGTATGTTGTGTATCCTTCAAAGTATGTTGTGTATCCTTCAAAGTATATTGTGTATCCTTCAAAGTATGTTGTGTATCCTTTAAAGTATGTTGTGTATCCTTCAAAGTATGTTGTGTATCCTTCACAGTATGTTGTGTATCCTTCACAGTATGTTGTGTATCCTTCACAGTATGTTGTGTATCCTTCAAAGTATGTTGTGTATCCTTCACAGTATGTTGTGTATCCTTCACAGTATGTTGTGGATCCTTCACAGTATGTTGTTGTGAATCCTTCACAATATGTTGAGTATCCTTCACAGTATGTTGAAGAGCCAACCCCAGCATTTTGTGGCTCTTTTGTGGCTTTACTAAGTGTTTTTTTTCTTCTGCTTTGCGTTCACTTCGCTGTAATCTCCAACATAAAACTATGTTTGTTTGTCCCCTTCAGGACTCTGGTCCTGTTCCAGAACCTGAGTGCTGTGTGCACACCTGTTTTACATGTGTGACTCATTTGTATGCAGACTGTTAGTTCCTTGCCTCTAATTAGTCGACTCTTACGACATGCTTTTGGGTAGACAGTGGGTCTATTCTTATTTTCACCACAGTGGGGCCCCGGAACCCACACAGGAGAACTAGGCAGTTTTACATTCAGTAGTTTTTTTAAATGCTTGTATTTCGTGCGGGAGAACGGGGTTCGATCGTTGGTAAGTAATGAAGATTTTTCTTTCAGAGTAAAATAGAAATCCTAACCTGCACACCTGATGGTGACTGCACTACTCATGCTGCCTTGTCCCAGGCTCACAAGACCCCCTGCACTGCGCTGCCAAATAGTAAATGTGAGCCATAAAGACAGTTTAGTTTACCATTGCTTTCCGATTGGTCAGCACACCATACCATCAAGCTAGAATCAGACCAGCATTTGGAACTACAGAGCTCACTAGCAGGGAATAAGCCACATAGTAAACTTATAGCCAACTTTTATTTAAAGTCGTTTTTACTTTATATTATGCATTGTTATATGAGCATAACATGATTTGTTGATAAAAATACACTGAGATAGTGAAAGATGGCTGTTTGAAAGGGCCAAATGTAAGACAGGCCTACGTGCCCAATTTGGGACCTTTTAAAAAGATGAAGTTTGTTCATTCATTTGTTTGCTACTTTACACTTCTTTATTCCTTAACTGTCTGCAGGTTTTTGCAGATTTTCTTCTTCCGAGGTAATTCGTCACTGTCTCTAGAACTTTCCTTGCTTTATTAATATCCTACCCCAGATGATGTCACAGGACAGTCAAACATTTTAGAGGGTGGGTTTTGCGGCTTTTTGATGCTTTTTACGACCCCAAAACTTCTAGAACTGGCCCTAACCCCAACCCACCTACGTCCTACAAGAGAGTGCAGCCTAGGTACCATGACTGCATGCAGCCTATCTACCACCCCCTGAAATATTAGACTGTCCAGTGACCTGTGGATTTCCCCTGTTTGGGGTTGGATATTAATAAAACACCAAACTTTCTGTAAACCTCAAAAGACTTCATCATTCAGACACAGGTTGAACTTTGTTCCAGGTTATGTTGTATTAAGATGATATCCAGGTATTACTCAAGCGACATCACTCATATTTATTCCGTTCACATTTCCAGTACATCTGTGCAGTGTGTATGGAGACAGTGACATACATGAAGCATTACTGTTCGAGTCTGGAGATCACAACTTCTGCATCTTTTCTCTCATGTTTTCTTCGGACAACAAGGAGATTCTTGGAGGGTGAGTTGTTTGTGCTGTTTGTATTGTTTGTGGTATGTATATTGTTTGTAGCATCCATGATGTTTGTGGTTGGAAGCCATGTTGGTCATGTGGTCAGACCCTGATTGAGGTTTTCAAAAAGGTTAGTTGCGTATCCTTTACAAGAGTTGACAGACCAACCCCAGCATTTGTTGGCTGTTGTGGGGTTTGTCTAGGTAATTTATTGTTTCACCAGTCTGAGATGGCTTTGTGTTAGATTTGAGATGGATTTGTAATGGATTTGTAATAGATTTATGGTGGATTTGAGGTGGATTTTTAAAAGATTTGTGTTAGATTTGAGATGGATTTGTAATGGATTTGTAATGGATTTGAGGTGGATTTTTAAAAGATTTGTGTTAGATTTGTGGTGGATTTGTAATGGATTTCTGTTAGATTTGTGGTGGATTTGTAATGGATTTCTGTTAGATTTGTGGTGGATTTGTAATGGATTTCTGTAAGATTTGAGGTGGATTTTTAAAAGATTTGTGTTAGATTTGTGGTGGATTTTTAAAAGATTTATGTTAGATTTGTGGTGGATTTAAGGTGGGCTGTGATGGATTTGAAGTTGATTTATATTGGAAGAAGAAAGAAGAAGAAGAAGAAAGACCCCCACACAATATACACATACACACATACAAGTGGTAATGCAATAATAATTAGATTTGTACGTATTATTTGCTTTTCAGGGCAGTTAATGGATACCTGTATGTTTATGACAGAGAAGCAAACAAGAGGACTTTAAAGGTAAGAGACAGCAACAGCTTGGTGGTGTATGAAGTTGGAACACACATGCACAGGCACACACAGACATAAACAGACATACACACCTGTATACATAGACACAGAGATACGTATAGACACTCACATACAGACCTACACACATAGACACTCACATACAGATCTACAGCCATAGACACACATAGACACTCACATACAGACCTGCATCCATAGACACACATAGACACTCACATACAGACCTGCAGCCATAGACACACATAGACACTCATAGACACTCACACACAGACCTGCAGCCATAGACACACATAGACACTCACATACAGACCTGCACCCATAGACACACATAGGCAGTCATATTCAGACCTCCACCCATAGACACACATAGACACTCACATACAGACCTGCACCCATAGACACACATAGGCAGTCATATTCAGACCTCCACCCATAGACACACATAGGCAGTCATATTCAGACCTCCACCCATAGACACACATAGGCAGTCATATTCAGACCTCCACCCATAGACACACATAGACACTCACATACACATGTGTGCATCAGAAAAATTCTGACCTATTGAATTAGAATATTTCTGGTCTGGATTCTGCTGCTGCATTTTGGTAAACAATGAATACACCCACTACACCCCTAACAAGTGTATCAAAGTGGGAGTAATATTCTGCTGTGAGTTAATTTCCATCTCTAGTACATGAAGACTGAGAGGGTGAATAAGGTGGACGAATCTACAAAAATCAGCGGCTTGTAAAGGGAAACAGCACTGGAATACCTTAGGCATGTTCAGGACACAGTAAAGAACACAGCTGGCCATCGTCGAAGAGACTGAGACCTCATAATATAACACCCTAAAGTTTGCAATGGAGTCACAACAAAAGAAAAGCAATGTCCAAGCGTCGTAGTTGGTCTTTTGTCACTGATTGGTCAACTAGCAAGTATTCAGGTCAAGTGCATCACACCTACTAGTCTACTCACAGTCTAATCTGCATGCTTTTGAACATTTGTAGACAATCACTGGGTCTAATCTGCATGCTTTTGAACTTTTGTAGACAATCGCTGGGTCTAATCTGCATGCTTTTGAATGTTTGTAGACAATCACTGGGTCTAATCTGCATGCTTTTGAACATTTGTAGACAATCACTGGGTCTAATCTGCATGCTTTTGAACATTTGTAGACAATCACTGGGTCTAATCTGCATGCTTTTGAACATTTGTAGACAATCACTGGGTCTAGTCTGCATGCTTTTGAACATTTGTAGACAATCACTGGGTCTAGTCTGCATGCTTTTGAACATTTGTAGACAATCACTGGGTCTAGTCTGCATGCTTTTGAACATTTGTAGACAATCACTGGGTCTAGTCTGCATGCTTTTGAACGTTTGTAGACAATCACTGGGTCTAATCTGCATGCTTTTTTAACGTTTGTAGACAATCACTGGGTTGCTCAGCTTCAAGCAAACAGCTAGCAGTCATATTTGTAGTCATCTATTATCAACTGCTTGGCTAAACTCAGTTTCCAGCATCACACTTAGTCACTTGTTCCTGCTCTTGGTTTCAGCACCAAGCACAGACTGAAGTGCGGTTCTTTCACCCTTAGTCTCTTAGCGCATTCAGTTTGCATACATAATTCTAACATTATGAATTTATTCTAATGTTTTATAAGAATCACACTAAGCCCATGATAATCCTTCCTGGCGCTAAGCCTTTCTAAACTCCACCCCTTATGCTAAGTAGATGTTTATCCTCCTATGGTAACACTTCTGTGTTGCAGTAAAACATAGATCATTAAATCTTTCCTAATCCTAAAAATATATTGCATTAACCTGGGGACTTGGTTTTTAACAATTACCCCTCCCCTTTAGGGATTCACGTCTCCCCCTTCCCTACTATCTTACGGATTTTCCCAAAAAATGTCCTCGGAAGCAAAAGTGACTGGTGTGACGTGGTGGAGACCACATCACCCATCAAGTATTGTTTGGAATTTAAAACAATGACATAGCACCATGCACCTGAAGTGACTAAGGCATATTAAGGGTAATTTATTTGATGTATTCATTGTAAAGCTGCATTCCATCACCCAGCTACTGAGTTGAGTGATTGGTGTGAAACTGTGAGCTGTGAATTTTAGGTGGAATGTTATTTTCGTTATGTCTACACCCTGTTGTTGATTACACTAAAGTGGTAGATGGCCGATTATGTTCAGATTGACATGTATTAGTATGGGCACACTGCTGGCTTTTGTGACTAACTGTTTGCGCCAAACGTGAGTTGCGGTTCTGGTTTGGGACCATTAGTGTTTGCGGATCTTATGCACTTTTAATTGGCTTGTGCAAGCTTCAGAGTTTTTTGCTGGGACTGACAAATTTGTTTCCAAAACGAAATTCGATTGGGACACACATTTTGTGTGTGATTTCTTCTGGCACAGGGGCGACCCATCGGCGGTGATGTTGTGACCTCTACTAACTAACTAGAAAGTTGCGTCTCTGAACACTGCTTATGATATATTACAGATTAATGCACATGATGATGATGTGAATACTGTGAGGTTTGCAGATGAGAGCTCTCAGATTTTGTACAGTGGAGGAGATGATGGTTTGTGTAAAGTGAGTTGATGACATCATCATCTACATCATCATCATCTACATCATCATCATCATCACCTACATCATCTTTATCATAATCATCTACATCATCATCATCTATATCATCATCATCTACATCATCATTGTCTACATCATCATCATCCTCATCCTCATCATCTACATCATCCTCATCATCATCATCTACATCATCATCATCATCATCTACATCATCCTCATCATCATCATCTACATCATCATCATCATCCACATCATCATCTACATCATCATCTACTCATCATCTGCATCATCATCATCTACATCATCATCTACATCATCATCACCACGTCGTATTAGTAGTCATTTAAATAACAATATCCTGTTCAACCCATCTGGGTTATAATTTTGAAATGTAGTTTTTAAAGAAAGTTCTTTATCCTGTGTTGGAGCATAGGCTGTCAACCAACATATGCTGAGTTTACCAATTTCTTGCCATCTTGTGCAGCTGACTCCATACCATTTTACTCACTTTTGTCTCTGAATCTCTTCTCCCTTTATTTCTTTTCTGTGGGTTTCAGGACTAAGATATTCTAGTTATACTATTATCAGGCTTTCTCATTGTTGTCTTATCCAGCAGCAGCATCTCTTCCTCATCATTTGATTCATGGAATTTTCTTTTTTCTTTTATGGTTAAAAAAGAATTCACATAAATTGTTGAAAGAATGAATTCACACAATTGAGAACAACTTAATTCACACAATAGTTGTTTATGTAATGCTAGGTTTGGGACAGACGAACTCTCAGAGAGCAGAAACCTGTGCCAGTTGGAACATTATCTGGCCATGTTGATGGGATCACTTACATCGACTCAAAGGTGAAACATGCTTTCTGTTTGTTGTTTTCTTCTGAGTTGAAATTTTTTTTAAATTAGAACAGAAACATTTAAATATAACATGAAAGATATGCAATGAGTTTTGTAAGGTGTGATGAAATGAAACTTTTCCCCATGACTTTATTATAAACATGAATGGTATATCAGCAGGTGTGGCATAATTAAACAAATTATAAACATGAATGGTATATCAGCAGGTGTGGCATAATTAAACAAATTATAAACATGAATGGTATATCAGCAGGTGTGGCATAATTAAACAAATTATAAACATGAATGTTATATCAGCAGGTGTGGCATAATTAAACAAATTATAAACATGAATGGTATATCAGCAGGTGTGGCATAATTAAACAAATTATAAACATGAATGGTATATCAGCAGGTGTGGCATAATTAAACAAATTATAAACATGAATGGTATATCAGCAGGTGTGGCATAATTAAACAAATTATAAACATGAATGGTATATCAGCAGGTGTGGCATAATTAAACAAAGCAACTCCTAACTACTCTCAGCACAAGTTGAGGATCAGGGCAAATGGAGCTATATTACATGACAAGGTGTTTTGGGAGGGAGGGGGAGGGGAAGTGGTGGTGAACGTAGACGCACAGGGTAAACGTAACGCAAATCTCCCTAAACAGAGTTAGCCCCACCTATATCCACACTGCGGCGTCCGTGGCTAAGGTGTTGCGAGTCCGACTCGTAAGCCAGCATACCGCGATCGAAACCCACTGCAGGCTGCGTGGATTTTTATCGTGGTATGGGACGTTGCAGGTCGACCCAGCCTAAAATGGGTACCAGGATGGGCTGTCCTGGGAAAGTAAAGACAGCCGGCGTAATTCTGACCACATTACCCACAGAGTGCTGATGGTCTGTAAAAATATGGGACGCTCTGCCCATATGCCCGAAAGGCGTGAAAAGGGAACTTTACTTTTTTTTTAAATATCCACACTAGGTCACTTCTGATTGGTAGTTCCTGAGCCTCGTCACCTTTGCACAAGGTTACGGTGGTGTTCTGTGATACTTGTGATAACGCGTGTTGTATATTTCAGCATGCCAACACTTTTAATGCTCCAGAAACATGGAGCACTGGCCCTAACACAGCTCTCCTACAAGAGTGCTGCAACCTATGTCACAGGCATTGTCTTTCTCAGAATGAAAACGTTAATGGAAGACAACACAGAAAACAAACAATAGAGCGGGCCTAACAAACTGTCAATGAAAAGTGACCTAGTGCGTAAATGGGCAGGGCTAACTCTGTTTGGGGTGATTTGCGTAATGTTCACAGACGCACAGTCCTGTTTGTGACCCAGATGGGGTTGAATGTTTATCAACAGATGTCAAACTCTGAAGAAAAAGAAACGGTAAAGAGAGAGAATGGCGGGGAGAGGAGGGAAGAATAGACACACTGTCTCCCTGAAAAGCATGTTGCAGGAGTCAACTAATTAGGGTGTTTCCTTTGAAGTTAAAGTGCATCTGCCTGAGAGGCAAAGAACCAGCAGTCTGCATACAAATAAGCCAGATCTCTCAAATAAATGTGCAGACAAAACTAAGGTTCTGGAAAAGGACTAAGTTCAGAAGCAGACAAACAGCCATTACTTTCCATTAGAGTTTACAACCACTAAATATGAAGAACAGTAAGCATCGTCATCATCATCATCAATATCATCATCATCATCATCATCAATATCATCATCATCATCATCATTATCATCATCATTTTTCAGCCTGTAGTGGTTGGGAAAGTATCGGTAACCATGATGTTTTTCTGTCCATGTTTCTAGGGTGATGCCCGTTTTTTCATTTCCAACTCTAAGGACCAGAGTATAAAACTGTGGGATATTCGATATTTCTCTGATCAGAAAGGAATTACAGTGAGTATATCAGACAGCTGAGTTCTACCTGTTATCAGATGTAAAGTTATCAAGAGGCCGACCAAGAAAGTGATGGTTGGAGGGACTGAAAGAAATGCTACAAAAGCACAATATGACATTAACACAAGCTACACAACTAGCATAAGATAGGAAACTAGATCTAATTCTCTGTGTGATGCTTTATGGCAGGGCTGTTCAATTGGCATGGCAGCATGTGCCAAATCCTTCTTCTTCTCCTTTTCCTCCATCTCCACCTCCTTCTTGTTCTTTTTTTCCTTTTGCTTCTTCTTCTACTTTTGTGGTTGGCACACTATTTTGTGGGTTTACAGCAAGACTTTGAAAATTTTCCTTTTGACCAAATACACATCAGTTGTCCCCACTTCCTTAAACGGGAGCCATGAAGCCCACCCAGGGGTACCTACTGAGTTAAGTGGGAGCTGCCATGGTGTAGCTTGCCTGTGGATCAGAAAGTCATGGGTTCAGATCCTAAGGGGGCCTGACTATTTTAAAAATACGACCGTAGCTCGTAAGGTCGACTCAGCCTTGAAATAGTACCACGTACAGAGTTGGGAAGTAAAGGTGGCTGGCATGATGTGGACAGTATGACCCACTGAGGGCCAGATGGTCTTTAAAATATAGGTCTAGCCCAATATGCCTAAAGGCATGGACAAGTGTCCTTTTCTTACTGTGTTAGGACTTCCGTTTTCAAAATGGCGGACAGCAGCTGTGTTTATTTTCGCTGGCTGTCAATTCTCTCGGATTATTCTGTTTCATAAACATGGACTGTTATTTTGTGTGCATTTCCAACGGAGGATATTATGTGTTTTTCGTGGAAACAGCGTGTATTGTGGTTGTGCTGTGTCGGGGCGGGATAATGACCGATAGTTTTGGCAGCCTCGGCCACGCTGCCTGCTCAATGTTTTGATCGACAGAATCTCGTCAGCAGGGGACTGCAACTGTCTAGAGAGCAAACTCGATAAAAGCTGTCCCCAGAAACGGAATGTGTCAACCATATATTTGGTGGGGAGCAATCGACACATACGGTTAACTCAATGGCCATTACTGTGTTAAAAAAATAGTTCATATAGTTGTAACTATTTTTGTAAACTGCTTCATCATCATCATCTTTATATTGCCTTTTTACCTGTTGTCATTTTACCTGTTGCTATTTTACCTGTTGTCATTTTACCTGTTGCCATTTTGCCTGTTGCTTTTTTACCTGTTGCCATTTTACCTGTTGCCATTTGAAGTAGGCACAGCTTAAAACTGAAATAATATTTTCTTTTTTAGGAAACCAAGAAAGCAGTGGCTAATCAGAACTGGGACTACCGGCTGCAGCAAGTACCAAGAAAAAGTAGATCTTTCTGATTCCAAACAAAATCAATTATTTAATTTTAAATAAATAAATGAAAGAAGCACACAAGATGACATCTAGTAACTTAACCTCTTACCAGAAGAAAAACAAGAAAGAATTAGTGGAATCAACCAGTAGACTGCAGTGCAACTGCTGATCTGCTGTAATTAATGCATCCAACAACAGTGAACTGTAGTATCTAGTTGCAGACTGTTTGTGTTGGCACTTCTGATGCCTGCCTCATACATTGAATACATATGTATGCTGTTGGCTTTCCTCAGACTGCACTCTTAATAGTTTTCAATTTGTTTCACAAGTGACAGCAATGGGCACTTTCTTTGGTCTTTGCTGGCATAGGAGCGGAGCAATTATGTGTTGACTCAAATGCCATAAAGTTGAAACTGCAGTCAACCAGTAGACAGTGACAAACCTGTTAAATCTAAGGGAAAAAAAAGAATTTTAGTACCCTTTGGTTTTACAATTCATGCATCTAGCTTTGGGGCATAAGAAGAAGACAGCAAATGTGGACCTCAACCAAAAGATCTTTTTCCATACTTTCAGACATTGGGTATATAGATCTAGACCTATATTTTGTAGACCAATCAGCATTCAGAGTTTACCTGGTTCCCACTCAAGGTTGGATCGACCTGGAAGCCAAGGTCAGTTTTGAGAAACAAAAAAGTCTGACTCTCTTTGGAACTGAACCTATGACTTTTGGATTCGCATACGACCGTCTCTCATGGAGACTGGACTGCGGCCTTAAATTTTAGGACTCAAGACTTGCCCTTACAACACTGCCCTTACAACACTGCCCTTTACAACACTGCTCTTACAACACTGCCCTTTACAACACTGCTCTTACAACACTGCCCTTTACAACACTGCCCTTTACAACACTGCTCTTACAACACTGCCCTTTACAACACTGCTCTTACAACACTGCCCTTTACAACACTGCCCTTACAACACTGCCCTTTACAACACTGCCCTTTACAACACTGCTCTTACAACACTGCCCTTTACAACACTGCCCTTTACAACACTGCCCTTTACAACACTGCCCTTTACAACACTGCCCTTTACAACACTGCCCTTACAACACTGCCCTTACAACACTGCCCTTACAACACTGCCCTTACAACACTACCCTTACAACACTACCCTTACAACACTACCCTTACAACACTGCTCTTACAACACTGCCCTTACAACACTGCCCTTACAACACTGCCCTTACAACACTGCCCTTACAACACTGCCCTTACAACACTGCCCTTACAACACTACTCTTACAACACTACTCTTACAACACTGCGCTTACAACACTGCCCTTACAACACTGCTCTCACAACACTGCTCTTACAACACTGCTCTTACAACACTGCTCTTACAACACTGCTCTTACAACACTACCCTTACAACACTACCCTTACAACACTGCCCTTACAACACTGCTCTTACAACACTACCCTTACAACACTGCTCTTACAACACTGCTCTTACAACACTACCCTTACAACACTGCTCTTACAACACTACCCTTACAACACTGCTCTTACAACACTACCCTTACAACACTGCTCTTACAACACTACCCTTACAACACTACCCTTACAACACTACCCTTACAACACTACCCTTACAACACTGCCTTTACAGCACTGCCCTTACAACACTACTCTTACAACACTGCCTTTACAACACTACCCTTACAACACTACCCTTACAACACTGCCCTTACAACACTGCTCTTACAACACTACCCTTACAACACTGCCCTTACAACACTGCTCTTACAACACTGCCCTTACAACACTGCTCTTACAACACTACCCTTACAACACTGCCCTTACAACACTGCCCTTACAACACTGCCTTTACAACACTACCCTTACAACACTGCTCTTACAACACTACTCTTACAACACTGCTCTTACAACACTACTCTTACAACACTACTCTTACAACACTGCTCTTACAACACTACTCTTACAACACTGCTCTTACAACACTACTCTTACAACACTACTCTTACAACACTGCTCTTACAACACTGCTCTTACAACACTGCCTTTACAACACTACCCTTACAACACTGCCCTTACAACACTGCCCTTACAACACTGCCCTTACAACACTACCCTTACAACACTACCCTTACAACACTGCCCTTACAACACTACCCTTACAACACTGCTCTTTACAACACTACCCTTACAACACTGCCCTTACAACACTACCCTTACAACACTGCCCTTACAACACTGCCCTTTACAACACTGCCCTTTGCCCTTTACAACACTGCCCTTACAACACTGCCCTTACAACACTGCCCTTACAACACTGCTCTTACAACACTGCCTTTACAACACTGCCTTTACAACACTGCCTTTACAACACTGCTCTTACAACACTGCTCTTACAACACTGCCTTTACAACACTGCCTTTACAACACTGCTCTTACAACACTGCCTTTACAACACTGCTCTTACAACACTGCCTTTACAACACTGCCTTTACAACACTGCTCTTACAACACTGCTCTTACAACACTGCTCTTACAACACTGCTCTTACAACACTACCCTTACAACACTGCCCTTACAACACTGCTCTTACAACACTGCTCTTACAACACTGCTCTTACAACACTACCCTTACAACACTGCTCTTACAACACTGCTCTTACAACACTGCCCTTACAACACTGCTCTTACAACACTGCTCTTACAACACTGCTCTTACAACACTGCTCTTACAACACTGCTCTTACAACACTGCTCTTACAACACTGCCCTTACAACACTGCCCTTACAACACTGCCTTTACAACACTGCCCTTACAACACTGCCCTAAAAATTGCTAAATATGGACAGTTATAAACTGAAACACATATCTGACAAGCCCAAAGTCCAAAAAAAAAAAAAAAAAAGGGACACGGCCACATGTTTAAACTGAAAGAAAACAGAGATATGGCCACATGTTTAAACTGAAAGAAAACTAAAATATAAATAATTAAGAAAAAAAAATTACCTAATTATTACCAGTGCTGGAGAAGAAGTTTGGATGAGGTCTCAAGTTGTCTTCCACCAAAATTCAGTTAAAGTTAGACATTCTTGATTAGAGCTCTAATGTGAGGTCTCAAAAAAATGGTGATAAGAATACAATTAATAGATAGAAAAGCAAATATTGCATTCTTTTAGAATCAGATGAAAACTGTCAACTGATTGGAGAGATTACAAGTACAGGATCAAGATGTTTGGGCTTGGTTTAAGGAAAAATCAGTTTAAAAGCTTAATGATAACTGGCAAAACTTTGTGGGGAACGAACAAGAGGAAGTTAGGCCATGTGGCATATCAAGATAAGAACACAGACCTTAACTGAGAATCTGGTGATCATGTAAGATGATGAATCATGATTGACCATTCTTATCAGCACAACATCTGATTAAGATGATGATGATTAACTCTTGCTTGTTTGCTGTTATCGTCTTGCCGTGATATGAATTCCATCATCATCATCATCATTATCCTCAAGCAGCATGTCCTTTGCAGAATGCAGTGATTGTATTTTGCAGTGAGCAGACCACTGAGCTTGAAAAGTGACTCTTCTGTGATGACCTATAGGGGTCACTGTGTTCTAAAAACTCTCATCAGATGCAAGTTCTCACCAGAAGCCAACACTGGCCAGAGATACATCTACACTGGTTGTGCTTCTGGAAATGTTGTTGGTAAGTAGATACATCTACACTGGTTGTGCTTCTGGAAATGTTGTTGGTAAGTAGATACATCTACACTGGTTGTGCTTCTGGAAATGCTGGTAAGAAGATACATCTACACTGGTTGTGCTTCTGGAAATGTTGTTGGTAAGTAGATACATCTACACTGGTTGTGCTTCTGGAAATGTTGTTGGTAAGTAGATACATCTACACTGGTTGTGCTTCTGGAAATGTTGTTGGTGAGTAGATACATCTACACTGGTTGTGCTTCTGGAAATGTTGTTGGTGAGTAGATACATCTACACTGGTTGTGCTTCTGGAAATGTTGTTGGTGAGTAGATACATCTACACTGGTTGTGCTTCTGGAAATGTTGTTGGTGAGTAGATACATCTACACTGGTTGTGCTTCTGGAAATGTTGTTGGTAAGTAGATACATCTACACTGGTTGTGCTTCTGGAAATGTTGTTGGTAAGTAGATACATCTACACTGGTTGTGCTTCTGGAAATGTTGTTGGTGAGTAGATACATCTACACTGGTTGTGCTTCTGGAAATGTTGTTGGTAAGTAGATACATCTACACTGGTTGTGCTTCTAGAAATGTTGTTGGTAAGTAGATACATCTACACTGGTTGTGCTTCTGGAAAAGTTGTTGGTGAGTAGATACATCTACACTGGTTGTGCTTCTGGAAATGCTGGTAAGTAGATACATCTACACTGGTTGTGCTTCTGGAAATGTTGTTGGTAAGTAGATAGATCTACACTGGTTGTGCTTCTGGAAATGTTGTTGGTAAGTAGATACATCTACACTGGTTGTGCTTCTGGAAATGTTGTTGGTAAGTAGATACATCTACACTGGTTGTGCTTCTGGAAATGTTGTTGGTGAGTAGATACATCTACACTGGTTGTGCTTCTGGAAATGTTGTTGGTAAGTAAAAACGTGTAGACAGTACTTCTGATATAGTTTGGTGGTAAGTAGATAGTAAGTAGATATGTCTGCACTGCATGTCTGGTATTGTTGGTAAGTAGATACATCTACACTGCACTTCTAGTAGTGTTGTTGGTAGGAAGATACATCTACACTGCACTTCTGGTAGTGTTGTTGGTAAGAAGATACATCTACACTGCACTTCTGGTAGTGTTGCTGGTAAGAAGATACATCTACACTGCACTTCTGGTAGTGTTGTTGGTAAGAAGATACATGTACACTGCACTTCTGGTAGTGTTGTTGGTAAGAAGATACATCTATACTGCACTTCTGGTAGTGTTGTTGGTAAGTAGATACATCTACACTGCACTTCTGGTAGTGTTGTTGGTAAGAAGATACATCTACACTGCACTTCTGGTAGTGTTGTTGGTAAGTAGATACATCTACACTGCACTTCTGGTAGTGTTGTTGGTAAGAAGATGCGTCTGAAAGTTCTGCCTGTTAAACCATTTCTGGACTTGATGTTGCTCCAGAACTTGAGTTTTGTCTGCACATCCATTCTGTAGATCTTGCTTATTTGTATGCAGACTGTCAGTTCCCCCCATCTCAGGTAGATGCACTCTGATTTCAAAGAAAAAGCACACCTTATTAGTTGTCCCCTACCATTCCTTACCATTGTTGCAGGCAGTTGGTCTATTCTCTACCTCTCCCCCTTCCAGATGAGGCTCCAGAACCCACACGGGAACTTCAGGTGTTTTAAGCACTGTATGGATTGCAGGGATGGTGTCTATATCTAGCTACAAAGCTATAATTCTCTGTTTAATGTAATTCTGTCAGTGTCTTGGACTGGTAACCCACTGACTACCCAGGTCGCACATTATGTGACGAGGCGATGTTTATTTTTTTCTGCCATTGTCGCACCCTTTGCAATGGTAGCTTTGGACGCTCGCCATGTTAAAATCGTGATTTTTCCGATGAATTTGGTTGAAGCCTTTTAGCCCATTCATTTCTCTATTTTTATTAAGGGAAACAACCTTGTAGCGTGTGTACTGTTTGTTTTAGTATCCAGAAGTCATGAGTTGTTAACCCTTAGGCTCAGTATTATGGATATTGCAACCTTTCGGCCTTGATTCCATTGTAAATACCGTAAATCAGGGAGAAAATGTGGCTTTTCTGCCTACCCCCGGGAGTGAACCCGGACCACATGGAGTTCGTCACCCGCTCACTGCGCAATCCGGTTTAGCCAACTACGCTAGAGAGCCGGGCAAGCGTGTGTACTAAATATTTGCTGAATTTTCATTGTTAGCTCCCATATCCTTGACAGTTGACAAAATTTTTTGTCATGGCACAAAATTCTTGAAGAAATCAGGATGGTAATTTTTATAATTTTTCTGTTATTGTGCTGATTTTCTTGATTTGATCATCTTGGCTGTGAAATGTGATAAGTGAGAGTGGTATATATTTATTATTTTTTTTTTTTCAATTGCACTGATATTGAATTGCAAACCATTTTAAAATGTTGATAAAACAATACAACTTCATGTTTTATATGGCATGAAATTTAGTCTGTATTGTTGACAGATAAAAGATTTTTCGGATGCTTTTTTCCCCTACTAAATCTACAGCCAGATGATGACGATGTCAAACAAAATAAACCCATTTTTTTTCTTGCAACTTGTTCTTAGTCAATTAGTCGTGGACTATCTCCCACTCCTTAAGAAAGAGGATAAGGGCTTTTGAGCTCAAATGCTGTATAAAGATTCTCAGAATATCTTGGACAAAGAAAAGGAAAAAATACTGGCGTCTGGAAAGATCTGAACATCAAGGAAGATTGGCTATTAAACAGCATCCCGTCTCGGAAGCTGAAATATTTTGGTCATATCAAGCGCCATGACGGATTTGAGAAAATAATAGTAGAAGGCATGGTACCTTGAAGGAGGGGCAGGGGTCGACCAACACGAAGATGGGCACAGGACTCCATGAGTGTGAAAGTACATGAGGCCGGAAAGCTGGCAAGAGACTGAGTTTCCTTCAGGCCGACCGTGATGAGAGCAACATTCTGCAAAGGACCTGCTACATGATGATGATGACATGTGTCATATAGTTATCTTAAATTAACTGTTTCCCACGAAGTCGGAGTACATCTGCCCGTGAGGCAGGGAACGGCAAAAGCCAGTAAAACGGTTGTACACGCAAAACTCAGGTCCAGGTAAAAGCCGAAAGTTCAAGCGGACGATTAACCGGGACCTTCCGCCGGAATTCACAGCCGGTGAACGAAGAAAAAGAAGAAGATATTAACTGTTGTCAGGCTTTTTCTTCTGGCAGCACTGAACTTTTATTTTAGATGCGATGTATACCAGCACCTGGTTTGTTGTGTGTGTGTATGTTTTGTTGAAAAGGAAAAAGTCCTGACTGTTACTGAAGCTCCTCACGTGGGTTCCAGGATCCATTGATTTTGAAGAAAAAAAAAATAGAGCTATTGCTTTTTAAAAAGCACACAGAAAAATCCGATCAATTAAGTATTTGCTGACCTCAGAGGTAATGGGCTGAAAAGCACAGATATCACAGCCTTGCTTTAAACTACAACACAGCGTACCAACTACCCTTTGAGGGCAAGCATAAAAGAAGAGGAAGATTGTTACTGTAGAGTAAGCAAGCTCAAAGATCGTGTTTAAACATTGTGGTAACTGAGAGTTGTTGAAATAGTTAACATTGAAAGAATAGACGGCCTCTGATGTGTATTTCGGCTAAATGATTAATTGTTCTGCTTCTTTGACTGAAGTCTTTAGCGTGTATTTTGAGGAATTACAGTGAAATGTGTTGGACAGTAAATTTTACCGTTTATTTTTGGTGTCTGCACATTTAAAAAAGAAACCCATTATTTCTGTTTCAGTTTATGATGTTCTGACTGGTGCCGTGGAAAGCAGGTTGAAAGGTCACACTGCCTGTGTACGTGATGTGTCCTGGCACCCGTACAAGAACATCATTATAAGCACCTCGGTGAGTTGAAGAGTTCCAATCAAACCTAATAGGAGTCAGCATGCTGTCATTACAGTCTGTAATGACCACTCTTTAGGGAAGTGTAGGACTTAAGCTTGGGGATTTAAAGCCACATGGACAGTGCAGTCGCCATAGACTGTGAAAATATGGGTGTGACTGCAGTCAAGCTAATACAGTGAATTCCAGAGAAATTTGACTAAAAAGCTCAACAAAATGGGGAAGCAGAAAAACATGCACAAAAGAACACAACGTTAAGGTTTCGGCTGGGCAGCCTTTTTCAAACATAAGGAAATGTTTCCTGTTAATGTTGACAAATGTTTATCCCGTAAATCTTGCATAGCTGGGTTAAAAAATCCCACCTTTGCTGGAGACATTTCAACGAAGAAAGTGATTGTGAAGTGAAAATGTGGTTTAGAAAATATAGAATGCAATTCTAAGCCACAGGTTTGGGAGGACTATTTAAGTCCTAAAAATACAATTGAAGACCTTGGCTCCTAGGTCGACCCAGCCTTGAGTGGGTACCGGGTGCAATTCCGGGAAGTAGAGGCGGCCGGCGTGATGCTGACCACATCACCCATCTTGTGCCGTTGGTCTATAAAAATATAGGTCTAGCCCTATATGCCCTATACGCTTAAAGGCGTGGAAAGGGTTCTTTACTTTACTTTTAATACAATTGAAACCACCACTACTATAAAGACGCTTATATGCTGCAAGTTCTAGAGTCGACATATCAGACTGTATATCTGTGTAGAAAACTATTGTGATATTAACCACATTAGACATGTGTGCATTCTATTTTTTTTAGTAAGTAGAATGAAGTAGCAAGTATAAATCCTATATGAAGTGTGTTTAGTATATGGTTTTTGTTCTGTATTTTATGAACCTCCTTCTACTTCGCCTTCACCGGCTAACTCCAGCGGAAAGTTTTGGTTGTTCATCTACTTTTGGACGTTGGTCTTGTTGCAAAACTTGTGCTGGTCAGCGTTTTCTGGGGGATATACAAGTAGTTAGTGGTAAGTAGAAATGAACCCATGACTTTCTGAACTCAAGGAAATTGGCTTGACCACTTAAGCACATTCATTACATTACTTTTATTTATTTTTTATTACTTCTACATGTCTGTAGGTAAACAAGACAGTTGAGACTGACAGTGTCATTGTTTGTTTTGTGTTCTCTCTACAGTGGGACCATAGACTTTTACAGTGGACTTATCTAGGCTGTGAAGATGATGATGATGATGAATCTGAGACAGAGAGAAAGGTGAATTTATTAATTTTAGTTCTTTTTCTAATCTTTTACCGACCCCATTCGAGCATAGGCTGACAATTAACACGCACCAAGTTGCTTATTGCCATCTCTTGCAGTTTACTGCTTGTCCTTTACGGTGACTGTACATTGAGCTGGTGCTCACTGCGGCAGTGAATTCATCATTACAAACAAAAATTTGGCATCCCATCCGGTATAGTTTCATCTTCATTCATTTCAACACCAGTTTTTGACTCCTGAAAACCACCTGAATATTTGTGCTCATGATAAACATTCATCCCCATAAACCTGTCTCATCATTTCACCCTGTCTCAAATGCACTTTTTCAGATTTTAAAACGTAATTTAATGTTTGTAGTTTGTTTCATGCTGCATAAGTAACTGTGGACCCCAAACTAGCTAAACCAAATATGGGTTAGGGGGGGTTAATTGTTGTCTGCTAACTGGGCAGAATTGCAATTTTGCCATATCTTAAAAGAATTTTGCTTGTTTAAATAATGTTCTTTGCTTCGTATATGTCATATTTGTCTTAGTCAAAATAAAATCAGTTTTAAAATTTAATAATTATTGGACGGCCTAAGACTAGGACAATAACAAGTTGCACAGCTTATTAAATGACAACAGATAAAATGGTTTGGCATCTGATTAGAATGTTCTGGTATCAGCTGCCTCAGAGAGCCATGTTGAAGATATATAATGAGCAAGAGGATGACCACACACAATATGGATCAATAGCCTTACACAGAGCATATGAAAGAGCACACAGGCAATCCTTGTCTCACCAATATTTCACTGAGGTAATTGGAGGGAAAAACCAAGAAGAAAACAGTTTTATAAAGAACAGTTATGGAAGGTATTTAAAGAAGAGGCAGGCGTCTACCAGAAATAAAAGTGGACACACAACATTACAGATCCTTTTGTTATTGTTGGCACCTTTCCATCTCTCCAGGAGATAGTGTTTCATTGTGTTATATGGATGCAGAGTCATCACAGCCCATATTGATACTCATTAAGTCCAGGATTAGAGTTTCTCACCTCCATAGTACAAAGCCTGGGCAGTCCTGAAGAGACCCTGTGTTGCCCGTGTAGCATGATACCTTGCCTAGCCGTTTTGTTAATTCTATAGGAAAGGTATCACCAATATATGTGGAACAGAGCATGCTGCAGAAGCTGCTGGATCTGAAGAGAAGTGCTCTGTTTTCCTCAGTCAAATCTGACCACGTTAACAGAGAACAGGTAGTTCCAACTACTGTTATATGGTAGCTCAGTCAAGTCTCACCAAGTTAACAGAGAAAAGGTAGTTCCAACTACTGTTATATGGTAGCTCAGTCAAGTCTGACCAAGTTAACAGAGAAAAGGTAGTTCCAACTACTGTTATATGGTAGCTCAGTCAAGTCTCACCAAGTTAACAGAGAAAAGGTAGTTCCAACTACTGTTATATGGTAGCTCAGTCAAGTCTCACCAAGTTAACAGAGAAAAGGTAGTTCCAACTACTGTTATATGGTAGCTCAGTCAAGTCTGACCAAGTTAACAGAGAAAAGGTAGTTCCAACTACTGTTATATGGTAGCTCAGTCAAGTCTCACCAAGTTAACAGAGAAAAGGTAGTTCCAACTACTGTTATATGGTAGCTCAGTCAAGTCTCACCAAGTTAACAGAGAACAGATAGTTCCAACTACTGTTATATGGTAGCTCAGTCAAATCTCACCAAGTTAACAGAGAACAGATAGTTCCAACTACTGTTATATGGTAGCTCAGTCAAATCTCACCAAGTTAACAGAGAACAGATAGTTCCAACTACTGTTATATGGTAGCTCAGTCAAATCTCACCAAGTTAACAGAGAACAGATAGTTCCAACTACTGTTATATGGTAGCTCAGTCAAATCTGACAAAGTTAACAGAGAACAGATAGTTCCAACTACTGTTATATGGTAGCTCAGTCAAATCTCACCAAGTTAACAGAGAACAGATAGTTCCAACTACTGTTATATGGTAGCTCAGTCAAATCTCACCAAGTTAACAGAGAACAGATAGTTCCAACTACTGTTATATGGTAGCTCAGTCAAATCTCACCAAGTTAACAGAGAACAGATAGTTCCAACTACTGTTATATGGTAGCTCAGTCAAATCTCACCAAGTTAACAGAGAACAGATAGTTCCAACTACTGTTATATGGTAGCTCAGTCAAATCTCACCAAGTTAACAGAGAAAAGGTAGTTCCAACTACTGTTATATGGTAGCTCAGTCAAATCTCACCAAGTTAACAGAGAACAGGTAGTTCCAACTACTGTTATATGGTAGCTCAGTCAAATCTCACCAAGTTAACAGAGAACAGATAGTTCCAACTACTGTTATATGGTAGCTCAGTCAAATCTCACCAAGTTAACAGAGAACAGATAGTTCCAACTACTGTTATATGGTAGCTCAGTCAAATCTCACCAAGTTAACAGAGAACAGATAGTTCCAACTACTGTTATATGGTAGCTCAGTCAAATCTCACCAAGTTAACAGAGAACAGATAGTTCCAACTACTGTTATATGGTAGCTCAGTCAAATCTGACAAAGTTAACAGAGAACAGATAGTTTCAACTACTGTTATATGGTAGCTCAGTCAAATCTCACCAAGTTAACAGAGAAAAGGTAGTACCAACTACTGTTATATGGTAGCTCAGTCAAGTCTCACCAAGTTAACAGAGAAAAGGTAGTACCAACTACTGTTATATGGTAGCTCAGTCAAATCTCACCAAGTTAACAGAGAACAGATAGTTCCAACTACTGTTATATGGTAGCTCAGTCAAATCTCACCAAGTTAACAGAGAACAGATAGTTCCAACTACTGTTATATGGTAGCTCAGTCATATCTGACAAAGTTAACAGAGAACAGATAGTTCCAACTACTGTTATATGGTAGCTCAGTCAAATCTCACCAAGTTAACAGAGAAAAGGTAGTACCAACTACTGTTATATGGTAGCTCAGTCAAATCTCACCAAGTTAACAGAGAACAGGTAGTTCCAACTACTGTTATATGGTAGCTCAGTCAAGTCTCACCAAGTTAACAGAGAACAGGTAGTAACACAACTCCTCTTACACGGTAGCTCAGTCATATTTAAATAAGACCTATTAAAGACTCGAAAGACATAAAAAATATATGAACTAGAGTACTGGCTGGAGAGAGAGAAAGACTTTTTAGAAGGCCATGATGGAAGCAATGGTTTACAGAGGAGAATAATGAACCAAGATGTTGTATTCAGCCACATCACAGACTTTCACATTTGTTTCTGAAGTTAGACATCACATATAATACTGAACTTGTGAAAGTTAGACATCACATATAATACTGAACTTGTGAAAGTTAGACATCACATATAATACTGAACTTGTGAAAGTTAGACATCACATATAATACTGAACTTGTGAAAGTTAGACATCACATATAATACTGAACTTGTGAAAGTTAGACATCACATATAATACTGAACTTGTGAAAGTTAGGCATCACATATAATACTGAACTTGTGAAAGTTAGACATCACATATAATACTGAACTTGTGAAAGTTAGACATCACATATAATACTGAACTTGTGAAAGTTAGGCATCACATATAATACTGAACTTGTGAAAGTTAGGCATCACATATAATACTGAACTTGTGAAAGTTAGGCATCACATATAATACTGAACTTGTGAAAGTTAGGCATCACATATAATACTGAACTTGTGAAAGTTAGACATC